AGAGAGACCCAGAGCCCCTCGAGCCTTTCCTCACGCCCTCTCCCGATGGGGAGGCTCTGCAGTTCCTACTGGAAGAAAGAACTGATGGGTAGATTTTTCACCCTGAAGGTTCCCCTGGCATTACTCTGTGTGACCTCAGGGCCCACCCAAGCTGTGCATGTCCCCGTGTGGCGTGGCCAGGGGCTGTAGCTCTGCGATTCCTCTGTCAGCTGCCCTGGTCCCCTCTTGGTCCTGAGGGAGCTGCTGTGAGCAGTTGTTTGGCTCTGGCAAAGCAGAGAAATCTTCCTCCTCCGGCCAGTCTAGCGTACTGCTAACTTAGCCCCCTTCTTCTTCATTTCTCACAGTAAAATGTCCTTGCAGGCCCAGGGACCATGGTTATGTGCTGCCAGCCACTGTCCGAGTTCTTGCCCTAGTGGGGCTGAGCATCTCTCCTGGGTTTCTGGGTGGGGCAGAACCCAAAACTGTCGTTAGCTGCAAAGCCAGCAAAGGGGCACAGACTTGAATTTGTTTAAGCCTGATTGGGACGTTTCTCTGTCAGGTTTTTTGGTGAGGCAGACGGTGATCAACATCTGCCGCCGGAAGCGGCTGGAGAGCGACTCGTACAGCCCGCCCCACGTGCGCCGGAAACAGAAGATCTCCGACATCGTCCACAAGTACCGCAGCAGGCAGCTGGAGCCCCACTTCTACACCTCCCTCTTCCAGGAGGCTGGGCTCAAGAACTGCAACCCCTAGGTCACTGTCCTTCCAGGACAATTAGATCAGCGCTTGGTGGCTACAGTGGTGAGAACAGTTAAACAACAACGAGTTTCCTCAGCCCCCTGGAATTCAGGAAGCCGTATTCTAGCACGAGTCAGCAGATAGCATGTGGGAGGAATGAGAAATGAATCCAAGATGTTGCAGTTGGGATATTGACTTAATTCATCTACCCTCAAAAGCTTACTTAATTCCAGTCTGCCTGGATGCTAGCAACATAATCTCTTCACCCAATCATCTACTCCAGACTAATTAGGAACTGTAAGTGTCTCACTCTGTGAGAGGAAAACAATCAAAACAAAGCTATCTCTACATACAAGGATGGAAAACAAAACACAAACAAACCTGCCTTCAGACATCTCGCCACACCACTGGTGAAGGAGAAGGGAGCAGGATCTCTCCTCGGAGGAGAGCGTCTTTCAGAGCATTAACTGTCCCTGCCAGAACTTAAAAGACATTTTCAGCCCCCCCTAAGAGCTCAACAGAAGATCTTTCACTGCTCATAACCAATTTGGGTACAAAAAGGCAAGAGGAGGAAAATCACTTGGGAAACATCAGGTGAAGAAATTCGTAGCCAGGATGTTGCAGCTTAAAGTCCCCTCTGTGGCTGGGAGCGAGCCCACCTACACACGAGGCTTCCATCGTGCTGGCCCAAACACCACCTGAAGTTACCTGACTTTCCAACAGGTTGTTACTAGATAAGAGCTCTTGGTTAATAAAAGCAAGGTGATTACTTTCAGGTCTGTTGCAAAATGTAATATTTAGTTCTAGTAGCTGATTTTTTTAAATTGTTTTTTATGCAACTGCTTAATTTATTTGGAAGTGTCTGCCTCACCACCTCACCATTCCCATAAAAAGTGTAAACATCACTTGCTCTCCTTCCTCCGGACTGAAATCTGAGATTCTGGGGCTGCCTCCTGCCTGGTATTTATAGCATAAGCAGTCTTCACAGCTTCTGCAACACTTCTCAGAAGCTCCTGTTAAACCGACTAAAACAACTCCAAAAGAAAATTGAAGAATTCTCCTTTTTCCCTGGTACCTCGTCAGTCCGTGGAAGCCCCTTTGGAGCTCTCACCGAGTCGCTTTGGATGGACCGTGCTCGGCAGCAGGGGTTCCCTTTCCCCTCAGCCAGAGGTTTTCTTCTCACCCCGTGGATCTCTCCTGTGCGGGCTCGGGGGATGTGTGGGGAGGGGTCTCCACAGCGACGGATTTAGCGGTGGGCGCTCGGGGCAGCCTCGGCCGGCGCCCCCGGGAGAGGGGGTTTGGCATCGCTGGCAGCAGCACGTCTCCTTTCCTGCCGGCACCCGGGCAGTGCCAGTCTGAGGGCACGTGGGGATTTGGGGAGCTCCTCACGTTATCCCCGAGGTGGTTTTATTGGCTTTTTTATATGTGTGGCAGTAATACCTGTCAGTAATTTAATTTTGGTATTTCAGAGTTACCTTTTGCAACAGCTCTGACCCAGACCGGTTGTAATTGTTGTGTTACAACTTGCCTGCCAAGGGCAGAGCCTGCTCCTGTCTTTTCACGTGGTGTTTCAGTTGGTGGAAACACAGGCCCCTGAACGTACACGTGAAAGGGCTCGCAGGTGTCAGCCAGAGGGTTTAGGG